ACATTAAGCAAATGTTTGTTAATTTTGTTTTAATTTTTACTAATTCTTACGTTCACTTATAATTTATAAGCCGTATATTTTTAAAACTTGCAAATTATATATTTTGCTTGTTTAAGACATTTATATAAGATCTTTTTAATTTATTTTAAATACCTTTTGATTGCACTTAAATTATTTATTGATTATTTTTGAAATAATGCCAAAATGTTTAAGAGTAACATATTTTCATAAAGCTTTTGCATTAAACGTTTATTTTTAAATTTAAATTTATTATTAAACCATATGCATATAATATTAAAAATAAAAGACAGTTTTTATTTATTTTTGGAAATTATTCTTTAACTTTTATATTAAATATATTTGTTTTTCTTTTAAATTATTTAAATAAATATATTGTATTTTCTTATATTTATTTTTAAATTCAAGTGAATTATTCAGCATTTGAATCAATTCTATACTATTTATACAAACTTTTTTGAATAAATTAAATATTTTGTGTTTATTTTTCGTATTATTCTTTCATTATTGAAGTCAAGAGCAGTTGAAAATAATTTTAATCCATAGCTCTCTATGTAATAGTTTGTAAGGAATTGTATATTCTTATGATTATAACCCGTTTTTTGTTGTCAAAAATGATTTAAGTCTTGCACTAACTGTTATGTGACTTATCGTTATTTCACATAATAATCTCAATTGGATTACGCGTTACACTAATCTATTGCTTCAATTTGATTAATAACTAACTTTCAAAATCCAATTTCAATGCCATATAAAACCTATTTTGGCAAATAATGTAAATATAATAAACAAGAATATCAATCAATGAATATTAAATTGTTGTGCAAACCGTTATCACGTTATAAATTATATGAAATACACATCAATTTATTTGTTCATAAATTTATTTATCTGTTTTTTATGTTATAAATTATAACTTATAATATGTTATATTATATCTTAATATGAAATGTTTGTTACAATATTTGTCAACACAATTACTGTTACTTTCCGCGTATTTCTTGTCTTAATATATTTGTTTACTATAAAACTGACTCAAAGTATTTAATTTTTTTAAAATAATAAATATAAAAACTTTAAAAAGTTTTTATGAGATATATTAAAGCAAAATAGTTTGTCTTAATTCAAATAATTTGTAATTTTATTTTTAAGATTAATTTCTGAATAAATTTAATAAAATAAAGTTTATGAAAGTATTGTATCTATAATATGTTGCTCAACACTAGGAGAGACACAAATGGATATTCACTTGAATGTTAACGAAGCAGATGTTTATTGGCTTTTCTGCATATTTAAGAATTGAGAGCTAATTTGGCGTATATTTCCCGCTAAATATATTTTTGTATAATTTTCATAATCCATTAATTAATATATTGAATAAAAAAACGATAACTCAGCCAATCATAAAAGTTATACTAATTTAAGCATTTATCCAAAAATCCTTTCTTTATTCTTAATCACAGAATCTATGGAAATGTTAATTGAATGTCAATGAAATACAAGTTATGAAATACATTTCAATTTATGATTAAAAAAAACAATTTTCATTTTTCTGTAAAAAACATTAAAACAAAATTCATTTCTTATATAAATCGGCAAAGAATTAAATAAATTGACTGAATTATTAGAGAAATTTTATTGCAAAAGCTATTTCTTGTATTACATGTTTGAAGTAATTTCCCGTTTCTTGTGTTTTCAGTCAAGTTATACATTTGATATCCATTTGATTGGCATTTCGTCGTAATTATTAATACATTTATATAATATTTTCAATACATTTATCTGTCGTCGGGATTGAAGTGATGTCTAATATTTTGAGTCTTTCTTTATATTTGAGTTTATTATTGAATTTTTTAAAACATACGAATTTAGTTATCTTTCGTCGATTTTTTTAGTTTTACATTTTGTGTTGAATTATAATAGGATTATAGCAGATATTACAATACTCTATAATTGGCGTATAGTGTATACATATTATATAATGTCTTTTGTAAGCTAAGTTTGGGTCAGTCAACACCTATTACTACTATTTTTAAAATTGAAAACCGAGCAGAATTTCCTCAGCTTATTAATGTCTAGTCTCATAGTAAGCCTAAATGCATAGCTTTATAAATTATAATGTAAAGGATATTTATTATTTAATTTTAATATTTTATTATAAGAAAATGAAGGTAGTTTTAACAAATTCTCCATTTATAGGAAACTATTTATATTTGTAAAAAATAAATTGTAAAAAATGAAGTTTATTTTAGAAAACGACAGAATATAATCTGTAATGTCATTAATAGCATGTATTATTTAGATAATTTAAAAATTACAGACATTTACAATCCCTATCTATTAATGGAGTTTTCAAAGTAAAGTGTTCAAACTTTATATCTAATTCCATGTCTTATCTTTTATATAGACTAAATATTTTTTTAAATTTTTATTTTTTGGTTTACTATAACATTTTATAGTTTATAAATTATAGATAGAAATACACTTATAGTATTTAACGTACCCTAATATCTCATTCATAGTACGCACCCTGTGTATAACGCGCTTGTCCTCTACTGTATATTTCAAACTTATAATATAAGTGTTAAATTATTAGTTCAAGCATAGACAAGTATTTTTAAAATACAATTTAAAGCAAAATATTGTTATTAATTGCATATAATGACAGTTGACGTCAAAACATGTCTATTGCTCATAATATTTGAAGAATTTTTGTGTTATTCGTTTTTAAAGCCACATAAAGCGCACCATTAATTTTAGCAAGAATTTTACTTTTTTTTATTAACTAACGCACACGTTATGTATGAGATATTAGGGTAAATGACATTTATATAATATCTATAGATACTAAATCAAACATGTGAAACATTTCAACATTTATTTAATATTATTAGAAAACCTATTTTTGCCCAAAAGTTTAGACTATAGTTACGTCAGAGATATAATGTCTCAACCAATTGAAATAATCTAAAATCATATTGGTATCATTTAATCAAGTCTAAATTTAAAGTTTTTAATTTTATGAAAATAAATAAAAGTCATGTAAATAATAATTGAATATAATATTTACAATTTAATTTCTATTAATATAAGAGTTGTCAACAATAATAGAAAAAACTTTATTAATAATTGAGAAGAATTTATTTTAAACTATTTAAATTGTAAGCCACAGGTTTTGTTTAAAATATGATTTAACTTTCAAATAAATTATATTTCAAACAAATTTTTAAATTTTGAATACAATTATTATTAACAAAAAGAAAAGTATATTTATGCATTAAAAGATATTAATACCTCTCATTTGAAGGCTATGGACATGTTTTTAAAAATTTTTAAAGCATTATTTGATTTAAATTTTATTACATAAAGAAAAATATTTGTATACATTTACTGTGCATTTATTGTCGGCTTTTAAAAATGTCAAAAATCCTATTTACCCACAGTTTTATCAAAGTGTGTTCAATAGGTATATAATTCAGAATATTTTTATTGTTATTTATATTTTTATTATAAACTCACACTAAAATGAATTTCAATATAACTGTAATAATGGTTTAATACAAAAATTAATGATAAATATAATCTATTTTTCATCATTAAAATTTTATTTATGTTTAGTTTGTATTACTTTTAATGATATAAATTATATTATATAATGTTCATCAATTATGTTAACATTTAATATAAATTCATTATATTTTATAAAATCAAATTATAAAATAATTTTAAATTTACATTATATCCATAATCATTTATTAAGTTTACATAATAAATAGAATATTTTACAATTCTATAATAATATAAGTTATAATCGCATTTGTATAATTTCATTTTAATTAAAATCTTATTTTATTTATTTTTTAAACTAATAATTTTAGATATATTAATAACATTTTACAATTATAATATTTGTAAATGTAAATTAAATATATATCTGTCTGTCTTTATTATAAGTGTTTACTGAATTGGATTGTAATTTGAATGGATTTTTATTGTGAATTGACTTCACTATTGATTTAGCAATTGATTAACCGATGGAAAAGTAGTTTAAAGATCGAGAGTGAAAGCCGTGGAAATTGTATTTTTATCGATTTGTAGTAATACAATAAAAAGCGACTTTTTGTGACTAAAATGTAAACAAATGACAATAAATTAAAGTTGTTTTTCACTCAAAATATAGTTTTCAAGTGAATAAATGCGAGACTAAATGAGTGCAAATTTGAGAGTTTCGTTTTGAATTATATTATGTTATAAAAAACATTTTAATTGACTTTTATTTATAAATTATAATAAAGTCTTTTTAATGCAAGTCTTGGCTGAAAATTTATTGAATAGTAGAATATTATGAGACATTTTTTTGCATCCCTTTGTGCGACAATTTTTCCATACAATTAATATTTCTAAAGATGTTTATAACTTTAAATAAATTACCATAATTTTATTCAAATGGCAAGAAATTATATTAAAATAATAATATAATAGCTATAAAATATAAAAAGACTTTTTTGTTGATAAGTCAATCACTTGACAATTGTATCTTTAATTGCATTTTATATTAAATAAGTTAATTTATGAAATATTGTATTATTTAAAAAACTAAAAAGTTTTAAGTATGCAGTAAATGGTATTTATTACCTTCTTTATTTTAAATATAAGTAAATTTATAAAAACATATTTATATTTCTGAGTTATAAAATTAAATTCTTATAATATAAAGTTAAGTATATTATGCTTTTAGTCAATGTTAGCATATATTTACATTATATCTGTCAATAAAACATATTCTTACTAAAAGCAGACAAAGAATTTATAGTAAAATATTTTTTATTTTATTTTAAATTTAAGACTTTTATTTATATTTTTGTTGAATATATTAAAATTGGTACAAGCTTATGTTTTTCTTATAATTCATTTTACTTTAATGTTTACATTATTAGTTAGTTATAAAAATTATTATTATTTTAACAATGCTTTTATCGCACTCTAAAAGATTATAATATTTTATATACATTTATAATCTTATGATTAGATTATGTTTAGTAAAAATACAATATATTACAGCATTTAAATGATTACATTCAACATCTCATTCAATTAAAAACAGGTCTAAAATTAGAGCCAAATTACCAAATATTGCATTTATTTAATGGATTCATTGGACTCCCTTCAGGACAGTTGAAACTCTGGGAAAACTCCTTCAGATTAGATAGGGTTCCGATAACTCTAACAAAACGATTACCAAAATTACAAAAAATCAATAAAAAGTGTGTATAAAACAAATGATGGGATCAAACCTAAAGCGCGCCGGACTATGGGTTTCCTTATCGACAAACATTTTTGATACTTCAGGTCTGACTTGAGTGCACCACACCTAACAATATATACTTACAATTTATCTAAATATTTATATTAATAAAAGTAAATTGTTATAAGAAATACATTTCCGTATGTAATCCAAAAGAGCTGTTCGGGTGTATATCTGAGACCGGGAAGAGTCAACTCTTTTGGGTGTTGTTTGACGTATGATTTGTACGCTTTGAAAGCCTCCCGAACCCCCACATTGTCCGCGATATTCTCTCCCAACGTGTTTATGCCGTTTAACTGTTTTGAAAATGCAATTTTAAAATATCTTTTGGCAATTTTAGTGACACTTTAAACGTACATTCGTTGCGATATCTTGTAAAACATAGCCGTTATACTGATTGATAAGACATTGTGTCCTATTTTTAAACATGGTATCAGTGGTTGAGTGCCACCAATTCTCATTATTGCCATATTTATCAAATTGCTTTCCGATGTCGTCGAAGGCATGTGTGATCTCGTGTGCGATCACTGTTCCGATGGCACCGAAGTTCATATAACTGTTGGGGTTTTTGTAAAGATTTGTACAGGAATTTGGATTAGAAATAATGATTATGGAAAATGTTTGAACAAATACTTAGGATTGTTATAATTGAAGAACATTCCCCTTAGAATTCCTGCCGGAAATATAATAGCGTTTTCTATCGCAGAATAGTATGCGTTAACGATTGTTGTCTCCGCAAAGTTTCGCCAACTTTTTTGGGTTTGCAATCAAAATAATCAGTCATTTAGTAAAAACATCAAAATATGAATGATATGTCTTTTGAGATTATGGCCTCACATACTGTGCAATCAATACTTTTAAAACCACATGTTATTCTATAAAAGACTAAAAGCATGTTTTTGTATTGAAAATTACGGCTTATTCAACGAATTCACTCCATTTGTTAGTCTTATAATTATTATATTCACTTTTATTAAATATATCTAAATCAAAGAGGAATGACTAAACATTTATATTTACACAATCTCTGCATTCATTATAAAATCATTTAAAAACTTATAAAGGATTTGGCAATTCTTGACATTTAATTAAATCTAATATTAAGATTATATTACATTAATCATTATTTTTAGTCTTATATTACATTATTCTGTCATACTATATAACATTTTCATTCACTATTTTTAACCACAATTCAGATAGGAATAATGTCGTTTATAGCATGGTTCGGCTACCCCTTACCCCCCCCCCATATAGATGTTATGTCTATGGGATTCTTTGAGAATCACCCGGTGTAGTTAAGCTATAGCTAGTGAACCTTGTTTAATTTGTAAAATTGTTGTGTAATCTAATTGCAATAAAAATAAATATCTTCTGACAATAATATTAATTACTTATTAAATGAATATATGCTTTAACGAGGACTTTAAAATTCTATGCAAACATTGATTATATATTTAAACATGTATTTAGTTAGCGCTGAAATCCGCCTTAAATTCATTACTTACTCTCCTTTAAGCCTTTTTTGTGTAAGACTTTGCGACGAGTAATCCGTTAACCATTTGCTCAGTTTTAGTGTATTCTTGAAATACTGATCGTCAGTGAATTCTTCCAACTATTCTTGTTTTGTCATTGAATTCAATGAATTAATTTCATATCAAAACAACAATTGATTTCTTGCGTCAATAATTTTATGTTTTTCTATTGAAAATATATTTGCTTTAAATTTTCTTATAACAGACAACAAATATATAGAAATATTTGCTTAAAATAGATATTTTACTCAACATATCATTTCATAAGAAGATTATTTTGAGCAGAAAAATATAAATATTGAATTTGAAATTGTATTCATGTAAAGTATACAATGTACTGTTCAGGAAATAAAGGTACTTTACATGGTAGAGGGAGAGAGAGAGAGAGAGAGAGAGAGAAGGCGTTAGACAAAGCGAAAGCTATAACTAGTTATATAGGATTTCCCAAACAATTGCTGAATGACAGCCAAATCAGACAAATATATGAAAACGTAAGTCAAGAGAAAACAAATCTTTTATTA